GTAAACTTCCGACTTCAACTGTATATGTTCAAAGTTGTCTTAATGCTCCTTTGCTGCAAAACCAATTGCCCTATGGGACAAACTTGACCTTGGAGCCATAGAGAACAAAAGAAACATGGTTATCATGCGCTCAGCTAACCACCTCAACATTCATCACCAGGTATAGACTATCTGCTGTGGAGGTCCCTGACCCAAAGTCCTATTACTCGCTCCCATCAAATTAAAGGGTGTGTGTGTGCGTGTCAGTCACCAGATCTCAACACAATTGAACACTTATTGGAGATTCTGGATTGGCGCCTGAGACGGTGTTTTGCACCACCATCAACAAAACACCAAATGATGGAATTTCTTGTGGAAGAATGGTGTAGATTTCCAGACACCAAGGTGCATTGAAGCTGTTCTGGCGGCTCGTGGTGGCCCAATGACTTATTAAGACACTTTATGTTGACGTTTCCTTTATTTTGGCAGTTACCTGTTCATCATGAGCACACATTTATCATAATCAATTTTGGAACCATGCCCAGAGACGAACAACAAAACGCATCATAACCGGGTAAATAAAACAGAGGGGCCGTGAGCCACTCAGGAGAAACAGAACCACATAATTCAGGGCTATCGTCAGTCAGATCCAGACAACACAGCACTGGAGGCCTGCCCTTTGGGCCGTTAGGGCCAATCAGGTAGACTCACCATGGGTGTGGTTAATGAGGCGTGTCCACTCAGGTAGGAGGAGCTAGAAACCGATAGGCTGAGGCCTAGGCCAGAGCCCGCCTCCTCCGCCGCCGCCACCAATGACGGCTGGAGGTGGCACGACAGAGAGGAGGATGAGGAGGAAGAAGGGGAGGAAGAGTGGGAGGCCTGAGGAGGAGAGGAGGGAGAGAATGGAAGAAAAAAGGAGAGGGGAAAGATAGATAAGAAGAAAGAGAGACAGAAGCAGTGAGAATAGGGGAAGAAAAGGAAGAAAAAAATACATGAAAGAGATTAAGAAGAGACAAAGAAAGAAAAATAGTAAAGTTTATTACACTAGATATAGAGCAGATGGAGCAGCAGTTTTAGAACCAGAGCCAGAAATGAGAGTTAAGCAGAGGACAGCACCAGCAATGGTGAAATCTACCACTGAAGAATGGAATCAATGGAGGAAGGAGAAGACTCCTCGTTGCTGACACTGAACATGAATTAGCGTAATTAGTTCAGCCACACGGTCAGCAAAAGTCAAAGGTCATCGCTAGGGGTCAGAAGCTCAGAAGACACCAAATAGTCCGGACAACTGCATTCGCTCACAGTATTCAGATCTGACTGCGGCACGCTAAACCTACCAAGCTCTCACGGTCCAAACTCTACAGCTTCAAAGAAACCAGGCCAACTACAAGGCCCAAAACACACTTGAAATATGATTCCCCCCCCATCAGTCTTATTATCTGACTGGCACTGGCAGACCGTCAAAATGACTTTTATTTCTCAAAGCCGTGTAAAGTCGCCAGAGCGTGTAAAGCCTGTAACATGGTGGCTTATTGGACAGGAGGAATAGGACGAGGAGGTAAACAGGCTTATCCTCGACCTCATCAAGTCCCCTACACCACCAGCCAAGATTACCAGGAGAGAGGGAGGAGGAGGAGAGGAAGGAGAGAAATACAGTTGGAGGAAAATAATACTTTACAACAGAAATCATCCAAATAAAAGTTTTGGAAGTGTTCAAATAGACAGTGGTTGGTGGATGGCAGAAGACGACTGACGGTCTCTCTCTCTCTTTCTCAGTGGTGTCCTACTGTATGAAGATACAGTGAGGGAAAAAAGTATTTGATCCCCTGCTGATTTTGTAAGTTTGCCCACTGACAAAGAAATTATCAGTCTATAATTTTAATGGTAGGTTTATTTGAACAGTGAGAGACAGAATAACAACAAAAAAATCCAGAAAAACGCATGTCAAAAATGTTATAAATTGATTTGCATTTTAATGAGGGAAATAAGTATTTGACCCCCTCTCAATCAGAAAGATTTATGGCTCCCAGGTGTCTTTTATACAGGTAACGAGCTAAGATTAGGAGCACACTCTTAAAGGGAGTGCTCCTAATCTCAGCTTGTTACCTGTATAAAAGACACCTGTCCACAGAAGCAACCAATCAATCAGATTCCAAACTCTCCACCATGGCCAAGACCAAAGAGCTCTCCAAGGATGTCAGGGACAAGATTGTAGACCTACACAAGGCTGGAATGGGCTACAAGACCATCGCCAAGCAGCTTGGTGAGAAGGTGACAACAGTTGGTGCGATTATTTGCAAATGGAAGAAACACAAAAGAACTGTCAATCTCCCTCGGCCTGGGGCTCCATGCAAGATCTCACCTCGTGGAGTTGCAATGATCATGAGAACGGTGAGGAATCAGCCCAGAACTACACGGGATGATCTTGTCATTGATCTCAAGGCAGCTGGGACCATAGTCATCAAGAAAACAATTGGTAACACACTACGCCGTGAAGGACTGAAATCCTGCAGCGCCCGCAAGGTCCCCCTGCTCAAGAAAGCACATATTCAGGCCCGTCTGAAGTTTGCCAATGAACATCTGAATGATTCAGAGGAGAACTGGGTGAAAGTGTTGTGGTCAGATGAGACCAAAATTGAGCTCTTTGGCATCAACTCAACTCGCCGTGTTTGGAGGAGGAGGAATGCTGCCTATGACCCCAAGAACACCATCCCCACCGTCAAACATGGAGGTGGAAACCTTATGCTTTGGGGGTGTTTTTCTGCTAAGGGGACAGGACAACTTCACCGCATCAAAGGGACGATGGACGGGGCCATGTACCGTCAAATCTTGGGTGAGAACCTCCTTCCCTCAGCCAGGGCCCTGAAAATGGGTCGTGGATGGGTATTCCAGCATGACAATGACCCAAAACACACGACCAAGGCAACAAAGGAGTGGCTCAAGAAGAAGCACATTAAGGTCCTGGAATGGCCTAGCCAGTTTCCAGACCTTAATCCCATAGAAAATCTGTGGAGGGAGCTGAAGGTTCGAGTTGCCAAACGTCAGCCTCGAAACCTTAATGACTTGGAGAAGAGGAGTGGAACAAAATCCCTCCTGAGATGTGTGCAAACCTGGTGGCCAACTACAAGAAACATCTGACCTCTGATTGCCAACAAGGGTTTTGCCACCAAGTACTAAGTCATGTTTTGCAGAGGGGTCAAATACTTATTTCCCTCATTAAAATGCAAATCAATTTATAACATTTCTGACATGCGTTTTTCTGGATTTTGTTGTTGTTATTCTGTCTCTCACTGTTCAAATAAACCTACCATTAAAATTATAGACTGATCATGTCTTTGTCAGTGGGCAAACGTACAAAATCAGCAGGGTCAAATACTTTTTTCCCTCACTGTAGGTCTGCTTACTATTAGGGCTGGGAATTGCCAGTGACCTCATGATACAATATTATCATGATACTTAGATGCCGATACAATATGTATTGCGATTCTCACAATTCTATATGTATTGTAATACCCATCCTATATGTATTGCGACACTATACTGTGATTTTATTGCGATTTGATGTTCCAAACATATTGCTAACCATATGTCTGCTGCAGAGGGACAAGAGAGAGCCATGAGAAAACGAGTATTGATCAGTCATGGAAATAAAAGTGCTGAAAACAAATTGGCACCCTATTTAAAAAGAAGGAGAACAAGCTATGGAGGAAAAATACAGCCAACGGGCTCCCGAGTGGCGCAGCGGTCTAAGGCACTGCATGTCAGTGCTAGAGGCGTCACTACAGACCCTGGTTCGATTCCCGGCAGTATCACAATCCAGCAGTGATTGGGAGTCCCATAGGGCGGCGCACAATTGGCCCAGCGTCGTCCGGGTTTGGCCGGGGTAGGCCGTCATTGTAAATAAGAATTTGTTCTTAATCAACTTGCCAAGTTAAATAAAGGTTAATAAATAAATTGTAATGGCTGGAATGGAATAGATGGAACAGTATCAAACACATCAAGCATATGGAAACCACGTTTGACTCTGTTCCATTTATTCCGTTCCAGCCATTACAATGAGCCCTTCCTCCTATAGCTCCTCCCACCAGCCTCTGCTAGCCTCTACCCAGGTCTAATCTGACAAATCAAATGACACAAGTGTCTAACTGGTGACACCATAAAGGTTTTATCTTTACAGGTTAATGCATAGTCTAACCTCACCACTTGACACCTCAATCCCCAGCTATGTTGAACCAATCCCCATTAACCTGAAAATCTAGCTGACCTCCCTAGCCCCTCCCCCACAGCTCTCCCCTCTATAGACTGATTGACCGAGAGAGAACGAGCAAGAGAAGAAAGAACAAGAGACTAGGCAGACTGAACAAAACCAGTGAGAGATACCAGCGAGAGATAGATGGAGGAATGGATTCCTGCAAGAATGCAGCTTTGGACTACTGTCCTTTCCAGCCAACCAGCCTACAACCACCTGACGAGTACAAATTACCTCAGAGTTTTTATTCTAGGTCGTGTTGATCAGGCCTCAAACTGATGAAAAATGACTTTAACAGGGAGGGTCCAATAAGAAAGGTCCCTTTTTATTTCCCGTTGCACGTTTTAAAACATTTTCCGTTGCGTGCCCTAATGAACACGACCCTGCTCTACATTGACACGTGTTCTGGTTGCAAATGACCTATAGACTGTCTACTGGTTGTCATACAGCATAAATGACCCCCGTGGGAATCCGACCCCTCACCTTTGACCCCTAGGCAATAACTACTGTTGCAGCACCATGACCCACCACAGGGGGCTTAAACTTTCACCTTTTAGATTTCCACGTTTAATTGTTGACTTGGAACAAAGTTAGATGTGTTAAATCATCAACCTTAAACCCCTACGAGTAAAACATTTAACCATTCAGCACTCAACCATGACCACATGGATGTCCACCTGGAGAGGAGACCTCACAAAGAACCTTGGGCTCCCGATTCGTCACACTTTTCCCATAGTGTGCACTTGCACGCTCCACCTTCATAACCAGTGCATCAATCTCTAGTGTCCTTCTGAAACAAGACCGCTACAGAGGATTGAGAAATTCCACTGGTGAGCTCTGAGGTGGCGTAGTCAATAAGGGCTCCCAGAATGTGTGAGTGGGGGGGTGAGGACTTGAGGGTGAACACACACACACACACACTCACCAGCTGCCTCTGCTTGGGGGGCAGGGCGGGGGGTGGGAAGAGGGGTATGGGAAGGGGCTCGTGGACCGAGTCAGTGCTGCTGAAGGAGTCGTTGAGGCCGTAGACGTCCTGGAAGCGTTTGTTCCTCTGCTGGTAGATGCTCTCATTCTGTGGGGTCTGGTAGAACACTGAGGGTTGGGGCTCCGAGTAGTCCTCCACAAACTGCATGTACGCCAGGACTGGGAGGAGATTACATAGCAGGAGATTAAAAGTGATTAAAGTGAAACGTTAACATGCACATTCCCAGCCTCAATTTTCCCATCTTTCCCTCAATCTCTTCCACTCCTTCTGTCCCTTCCTTTCTCCCGCACACCCAGTCTCCATTTCTCCCTCTGCCACTCACCGTGCTTGTTCCTCTTCTCAGGCAGCGGCGGTGGACTGGAGGGCACGTCGGCGTTCTCGTTAGCCTGGTGCTGGGCCACGAACACCCCCCCGTTGCTCTGGGGCATGGGCGAATTGGGCATGAAGAGGGGGAAGGGGGGCGTGGGGTGCAGCAGCTCCTCCTCTGACAGGTTATCGTATTGGGAGGGGGACCTCTCGTTGAAGGGCCCCCCCGAGGAGCCACAACCGTCCTGATAGGGCGAAACCTGGGAGCTGCGTCGCTTCTTCTGGGGTAACGCTGGAGGAGCACTGACGCGGGATGGTAGCAAGGGGATGACGGGGGTCCAGTGCTCGGAATGGGGTGGGTGGGGTTGTTGGTGGTGGGGGACGGGTGGGGACCTGAACCGGGGGTGAGGAGGGACGGGGGAGGGGCACTCGCTGTGGGACTCAGGGAGGGGGGACAGGGACGTGACCCCTGAGGGGGCGGCGGTGGAGGGCAGGTGGGGGTCCCCTGTGAAGACAGCGAGGTCCTGGTGGAGGAAGTCGTAGTCGGGGTCGTAACCCTCTGTGTTGTCTGGATAAAAAAAAAATAGGTGCAGTGAAATGTGTTGTAAAAGGAGACAGCGACAAGAGGTTAGAAAGAGGGAGACATTTGTAGAGAAAATAACAAGTGTTTGTGGTTAGGTGAGGTGAGGCTGTTGACGTGTAAAGTGGGTGTTTGTTCAGTCTATGTATTTTTGTCCATCTTTACTAAAACAATTGTACTGTGTTGTGTGTATTTTATAGTGTGTGAAAAAATGTGTGTTTGAATTGGAGTGCTTGTGTATTCGTTTCTATTTGGGTACAGACAGTGTATAAAGATCAACTGTGACTATGATGAGTGTCTAATTGAATGTATATGTGTTTGTGCTCCTACCCAGTGTCTCACAGCTAGTATTTCTGGAGCACTGTCCACTGTCCTGTTCCATGGAGCAGAGCTGCTCTTCAGACCTGCTGAGCTTCCCCATGCTGCTGTAGGGCGAGAGGCGCGGGGAGTCGCACCCGTATGACTGGCTGCCCCCCGAGAAACGCCTCTGGAGGAACTCCTGCTCATAGTCCTGCTGCTGCGCACACAGACAGACAAACATACAGACAGACAAAGACAGACATAGAGACAGACAGACAGGCAGACACATACACACAGACAGAAAATCAAAGGAGAAACCAGTTAAGTCAGCTACACAGTCAGTTTCATCAAACAATAGAAAACTTTGTGGATATATGATCCAGTAATGGCCGGCCTAATCAAGTCTGATTTAGTCAGTCACTAGTTATGTATCTATCACTGTATCACGTTATCACTTTATTTCACTATAGTCTGGTAATCCACCCTGATCAACACCATACTCTGATGCAGATGCTCTATAGTAGACCAGTGTACAAGACCACAGTATTACTATCGAGTAAGTGGGTGTTATTCAACCATAACCCTTGGTGTGGGTTGGTGGTACCTGTCTGTGGGCGCTGCAGGGCAGGCTGGAGCCACGGCTCATGGGGGCCACCACTGCCACCCGGGTGGGCGACGGGGCCGACTGACGCTTCTTTGGGGGCAGGGCTGGAGGTGGACTGGAGAGAGAGAAGTAGGACGTAGGACTATCAGTGAGAATGGAGGTTTTTAGGCCCAACCAGGCTGACAAAAGAAATACACACACACACAGTTTACTGCTCCTTGAGCAAGATTGTGGGATATGACACTGAGGGGTTGTCATGGTAAAATCAGCATTTCGTGCTTAATGCCTCTTTTTCGATCACCTTTGGAATATCCCAAACAGAAGTTGGGCTTTCCAGGTTATCACACTGCAATCATCACAAGTCAATGGCACATCATAAAATCAGCAGGTCAAGGAGACATGGGGGACTATGACTGGGTAAATTATGACAGTTATGATATGTACACACCAAACAGATTCATATATTAATGTTTATATGACGTCATTGGTACACACTCATGCACCAAGCTTTCTCCTGATTGGATGAGGGCTTCATTGCACGGCGTGATGCAATGACGCATAATTAGGAACTCAAGCATGCAAGACACGACACTCCACCAATCAGGCACTCCACCTATCAAGATGCTTCCAGGACGGGATTGGACAGTTATTAAGGAAGCGGGATGTCACAATTCAGGGGGATGACCCTATTTGCTAACGTACGTGTCAGTCTTTGTGGATCTCCTTTGGCCAGCGACAGAGCGGTCAGTAGCCAAGTGTGCTCTGTTCCCGGACAATGTGGAGAGAGGGATGGAAAGCACAGATAAAAATATGAAATGAGAGTTGAGAGAGATACAGACAGACAGAGAGAAAAAATAAAGAGAGACAGACAGCAGTGCACCTCAAAAGCCTAGTAGTAGTATTCAAGGTTTTGATCTAATCTTCTGGCTAAGTCCAAGGCCGCTTCCTTAAGCCCACAGAAACTGAATGCCTGTCTACCACTGCCTGTCTACCACTGCCTGTCTACCACTGCCTGACTACCACTGCCTGACTACCACTGCCTGACTACCACTGCCTGTCTACCACTGCCTGACTACCACTGCCTGTCTACCACTGCCTGTCTACCACTGCCTGTCTACCACTGCCTGTCTACCACTGCCTGTCTACCACTGCCTGACTACCACTGCCTGTCTACCACTGCCTGTCTACCACTGCCTGTCTACCACTGCCTGTCTACCACTGCCTGTCTACCACTGCCTGTCTACCACTGCCTGTCTACCACTGCCTGTCTACCACTGCCTGTCTACCACTGCCTGACTACCACTGCCTGTCTACCACTGCCTGTCTACCACTGCCTGACTACCACTGCCTGTCTACCACTGCCTGTCTACCACTGCCTGTCTACCACTGCCTGTCTACCACTGCCTGTCTACCACTGCCTGTCTACCACCTTCCGTTTCTGTTTCGCCACCTCTTATGATGATCCTTTTTCCACTAAAGAGGAGAAAATCCTCTAGGCTTACAGTGACTTCAGAAAGTATTCACACCCCTTGACCTTTTCCACATTTTGTTGTTACAAATTGGGATTCAAATTGATATTTTTTTTAAAAAGATGAATGAAAAATAAAACATGAATACAGTTGAAGTCGGAAGTTTACATACACCTTAGCCAAATACATTTAAACTCAGTTTTTCACAATTCCTGACATTTAATCCTAGTAAACATTCACTGTCTTAGGTCAGTTAGGATCACCACTTTATTTTAAGAATGTGAAATGTCAGAATAATAGTAGAGAGAATGATTTATTTCAGCTTTTATTCATTTCATCACATTCCCAGTGGGTCAGAAGTTTACATACACTCAATTAGTATTTGGTAGCATTGTCTTTAAATTGTTTAACTTGGGTCAAACAGTTCGGGTAGCCTTCCACAAGTTTCCCACAATAAGTTGGGTGAATTTTGGCCCATTCCTCCTGACAGAGCTGGTGTAACTGAGTCAGGTTTGTAGGCCTCCGTGCTCGCACACGCTTTTACAGTTCTGCCCACAAATTTTCTATAGGATTGAGGTCAGTGCTTTGTGATGGCCACTCCAATACCTTGACTTTGTTGTCCTTAAGCCATTTTGTCACAACTTTGGAAGAATGCTTGGGGTCATTGTCCATTTGGAAGACCCATTTGCGACCAAGCTTTAACTTCCTGACTGATGTCTTGAGATGTTGCTTCAATATATCCACATACTTTTCCTTCCTCATGATGCCATCTATTTTGTGAAGTGCACCAGTCCCTCCTGCAGCAAAGCACCCCCACAGCATGATGCTGCCACCCCCGTGCTTCACGGTTGGGATGGTGTTCTTCGGCTTGCAAGGCCCCCCTTTTTCCTCCAAACATAACGATGGTCATTATGGCCAAACAGTTATATTTTTATTTCATCAGACCAGAGGACATTTCTCCAAAAAGTAAGATCTTTGTCCCCATGTGCAGTTGCAAACTGTAGTCTGGCTTTTTTATGGCGGTTTTGGAGCAGTGGCTTCTTCCTTGCTGAGCGGCCTTTCAGGTTATGTCGATATAGGACTCATTTTACTGTGGATATAGATACTTTTGTACCTGTTTCCTCCAGCATCTTCACAAGGTCCTTTGCTGTTGTTCTGGGATTGATTTGCACTTTTCGCACCAAAGTACGTTAATCTCTAAGAGACAGAATGCGTCTCGTTCCTGGGCGGTATGACGGCTGCGTGGTCCTATGGTGTTTATACTTGCATACTATTGTTTGTACAGATGAGCGTGGTACCTTCAGGCGTTTGGAAATTGCTCCCAAGGATGAACCAGACTTGTGGAGGTCTACAATTCCTTTTCTGAGGTATTGGCTGATTTCTTTTGATTTCCCCATGATGTCAAGCAAAGAGGCAATGAGTTTGAAGGTAGGCCTTGAAATACATCCACAGGTACACCTCCAATTGACTCAAATGATGTCAATTAGCCTATCAGAAGCTTCTAAAGCCATGACATCATTTTCTGGAATTTTTCAAGCTGTTTAAAGGCAGCCAACTTAGTGTATGTAAACTTCTGACCCACTGGAATTGTGATACAGTGAATTATAAGTGAAATAATCTGTCTGTAAACAATTGTTGGAAAAATTACTTGTGTCATGCACAAAGTAGATGTCCTAACCGACTTGCCAAAACTATAGTTTGTTAACAAGAAATTTGTGGAGTGGTTGAAAAACGAGTTTTAATGACTCCAACCTAAGTGTATGTAAACTTCCGACTTCAACTGTATATCTTGATTAGATAAGTATTCAACCACCTTTGGCAGCGATTACAGTCTTTTGGGGTAAATCTCTAAGAGATTTGCACACCTGGATTGTACAATATTTGCCCATTAAGTTGGTTGTTGATCATTGCTAGACAGCCAATTTCAAGTTTTGCCCTAGATTTTCAAGTTGATTTAGGTCAAAACTGTAACTAGACCACTCAGGAACGTTCAATGTCGTCTTGGTAAGCAACTCCAGTGTATATTTGGCCTTGAGTTTCAGGTTATTGTCCTGCTGAAAGGTGAATTTGTCTCCCAGTGTCTGTTGGAAAGCAGACTGAACCAGGTTTTCCTCTACGATTCCTCTAGGATTTTCCTAAAAAAACTCCCTAGTCCTTGCCGACGACGAGCATATCCATAACATGATGCAGCCACCACCAGAAAATATGATGAGTGGTACTCAGTGATGTGTTGTGTTGGATTTGCCCCAAACATAATGCTTTGATTCAGGACATAAAGTTAATTTCTTTGCCACACTTTTTGCAGTATTACTTTAGTGCCTTATTGCAAAAACAGGCTTCCTTCTTTTCACTCTGTCATTTAGGTTAGTATTGTGGAGTAACTACAACGTTGTTGATCCATCCTCAGTTTTCTGCTATCACAGCCATTAAACTAACTGTTTTAAAGTGAAATCCCTGAGCAGTTTCCTTCCTCTCTGGCAACTGAGTTAGGAAGGACGCCTGTATCTTTATAGTGACTGGGTGTTTTGATAAACCATCCAAAGCGTAATTAATAATAAGGGATATTCAGTGTCTGCTTTATTTATTTTTACCCATCTACCAATAGGTGCCCTTCTTTTCGAGGCATTGGAAAACCTCCCTGGTCTTTGTGGTTGAATCTGTGTTGGAAATTCACTACTTGACTGAGGGACCTTACAGATAATTGTATGTGTGGGGTACAGAGATAAGGTAGTCATTCAGAAATCATGTTAAACACTATTATTGCACACAGAGTGAGTCCATGCAACTTATTATGTGACTTGTTAAGCAAATGTTTACTCCTGAATGTATGTAGGCTTGCCATAACAAAGGGGTTGAATACTTATTGACTTAAGACATTTCAGCTTTTCATTTTCATAAAAAATTCTAAAAACAAAAATTCCACTTTGACATTGTGGGGTATTGTGTGTATGTGGATCAGTGGCACAACATCTCTATTTAATCCATTTTAAATTCAGGCTGTAACAGCAAAATGTGGAAAAAGTCAAGGTGTGTGAATACTTTCTGAAGGCACTTTATGTTGTAGATTAATACAATTCCTCTTTAAGATAAAATATTTCTACCCACATTTGTTTGAAAATTATGGATAAAAAGACTGGATTATTCCACATTGACAGCTGTGTGCATCCCAAATGGAACCCTATTCCAGCAGATGAGATATCATGAAAGGTTTCAGACTCAATTAGACCTAGTTCATAAATAGACCCTGACCTCATGTCAATCAAAAATGATTAATGCTGACTTGCGTCAACATATCAGTTATATCTACACTTCCTCTTTGGCAGAATTCTAAAAGAAAACGTTCAGAAGTTTTCAAGTAACAGCACCAAAAATAATTTATGCTGACCAGTGTAAACGTTTCAGTTTTATCTTCACTTCACTTCCTCTTTGGCAGAATTCTAAAAGAAAAGGTTCAGAAGTGCTCACGCAACAGCACCACAGAAGTGGTCACTGACACCATGTGGCACAGGGCTGCTTCTGCTTTTTTCTGACTGCAGACACTCGAGACCGCAGGTTCCTTCTCATAACCGTGGAGGTGGGGAACTTCTCTATCCACCAGGAACTTACAGTAACAAACATGACCGCTTTAAGACAGTCAGAAACAGGAACTTGAAAGCAGGAGAATGAGAATTTCACTCATTGAAATCAGTGTGCCACAACTCATACAGAGTGAAATATTCTGAACATGTGTGGTTTTTGTTTTTGTTTCACTAAGATAAAGAGAGTCAGGCCAGTACTGAAACCACTCTCACTCTACCTGGGTGCATTTCAATAGTCTCAAGTAGCTTCCTCTCCTAATGTATTCGCCTTCATCCAAGTTAAATAAATATCTCACTCAAAATATATGGAAGAAGCCAATTCAATTAATGCAGATGAGGACAGGGGGATGAGAAGATTAAGCCCTAAAACTGAAAATGTTGAATACATCATATTTAAGACACTGAGTTTCTCTAGACCACGTGACTTGACCAGGGAAAAACTCTGGGTCCTAGTGATAAAACTCTGGGCCCTAAAACTAAAAGGCCCAAAGATTCGGTCTGGTCAGGTGGGCCCTGGTGCATACTATTCGTATGCCACTGTCGATTCTATCCAAAGATGGAGTCCAGTGTTACTCACCTGAGCGCATCCATCTTCAGGCCAGGGAGGGGGGGTTTGGGCGGGGCTATGTCCTCCTCTGCCATGTCCTTCACAGCCTCGGTGGGCGGGGTTTTACTCAGGATCTCTCTCTCCCGTTCTGTCAGTGGCAACTCTGACCTGCTGGGAACAGAACAAGAGAGTGAGTTAGTGTGTGTGTCTGGTGTGTGTGTGTGTGTGTGTGTGTGTGCATTCACTCACCTCTCTGGGGTAGTGACAGGCGGCGGTGGTGGTTTGTTCGGTGTGGTGGGCGAGGGTTGCTCCTGTTTCTCTATGGTGAGTTTGACCAGCTCCTGTTAGAACCACACAACTTCAATGTGTACAGTATACTGTTTTTCAAACCTCTTCTTCTTTTAGATGTGTTCATTAGATGATTTAGACAAAAACTGAGTGGCCAGAGAGCAGACATGGGTCAAATATATTCAGTTGCAAAGACTTTGGAAGTATTTGAGGTGCAATTTATTCAGCTTGGAGTTTGCCCTTTCAGGACCATTCCATTTGGTGCCATTGTACCAGGCAAGCTAACCAAACCACAGCATACGTATTTGAAAGTAGGCCTATTTGACAAATGTATTTGCCCCAGCTCGGCAAGGGAGAAATAGACAATATGACCCTCTCTGAGAGCCGTGGAAAGCTGCAAGCTATCGTTTCACAGTCCCACCGACCATTACATTTACATTACATTTTCGTCATTTAGCAGACGCTCTTATCCAGAGCGACTTACAAATTGTCCCTCTTACCTTGACCCCATCCAGGACGGCCTTGATGACAGTCGTGACCGCGACCACGTTGTCCTTGTCATCCAGGTCGATGCCGTCCAGCATGACGTGGTCGGACCAGCGGATCAGGTTGGCAAGGCTCTGGTACACCCGGTTGTGACACGACGACACAGCCGAACTGAGGAGAAAGGAGAGAGAGAAGAGAAGCGACGGTAAACGACAGGAAGGCAGAGATGGAGAGAAAGGGGATGCTGAGATGGGGGGGGAGAAAGAAAAGAGGGGGAGAATGGAAAGGCAGAGATTGAGAAAAAGGGAGAGGGCATAGAACAGTAGTGATGGCAGGGTTACAGAGAAAAAGAGGGAAGGAAGGATGAAAGCGAGTGTAAGAAGGGAACAAAGATAGAACGGAACAGAGAATGGAAGAAGGGAACAGAGAATGGAAGAGGGGAACAGAGTGTGGAAGAGGGGAACAGAGTGTGGGTGTAGGGAAGAGGAAAGAGGGATACAACATTTAATGTCAGGCTCTATAGATTGAGAATACGGACAACTTGCTAGACTAAAGGACTACATATTTTCTCCCGCACTGTGACTGAGGCTGCCATATGCATCCACACAGGGGGTTAACTCAATGTCTCCCCTGAGGGGATTTATTGAGGAAGTGTGTGCGCGTGTGTGTGACTGGAAAAAGTGTGTTTGTGGTGGTATTAAGTGGAGAATGTGTGCCTGTTCTGTTCTAGGTGTGTGTGGCTGCTAAATACAGTATAGTGCCTGTGCTGAATGGAGCATTGAGAAACACTTGGGGGTGGTGGAGGTTCATACCAGTCCCAACACGCTGCAGCTGATTCACAACTCTGGAATATCCCTCCTGTCTCTACAGGATACAGCTCAGAGAAATATAATCTATAGAACGGTCCTCCCCATGAGTTTACCAAGAATAAGATGACATAGACAGTGGGGACCTGATCCTAGATCAACACTCCTAGTCTAAGACACTTTATGAATACAGGCACTGGACCCAGGTGGTTCCAGAAGCAGAGGTGGGTTGTGATCTAGGACAGTTGTCACCAATGTTTTCTGAACCAAGATCACTTTCTGAGTCAAAATGCAGGCCAAGATCTACCGCTCAGAATTTCTTTAAAACATGACCTAAAAAAAATAAGCCTTCTCAACATGAACCTATTAAAAACAGTAGCAATGAGGTGTATGCAGTAGGCATTGCCCAATACAATGCTTGAATTGCCCTGCCAATGCAATGTTGTTCTTCTCAGATATTGTTTTTATTATATTTCAAAACTTGAGGTATATGATCACACTGGTATTATACAACGGGTGGGTCTAATCCTGAATGCTGATTGGTTAAAACCACATTCCAGCCAGTGTCTATTTCACAAGTTACCACCGGCTAAATCTATGACGTTGAAATGCATTGTGTTACTTGTGAGGCACAGCTGAGTGAGCATAAATTGAAATAATTTCCTTCTTTTTTTTTACTGGACTGATGGTGCCTGCATCTGATGGTCAGTATCAGCGGGGGGAGACTGACCAAAAAGGAGACCCCGTCTTCCAGTTGATGGCGAACCTCGAATAGCACTTCATTATTTGTACCTTACGCACCAATTCATGTTGCTACTCCTATGACCATGGAATGGGAAATATTCCTCAATATTAAAAAAGACACAAGCCACTAATAATAACAAAACAAGCCTATTGATACACTTTGTAGCACGAATGGATAGGGAGAAGCGCGTGGCTGATAAAAGTGTTGAAGAAAGTGTTGACAGTGCTGAACAGAAACGTAAAGATGAAGTCACTCATAAAAACAGAAGCTCTTTCCAGATGAAGAAATAGAACATGATGAAATGAAATACCCGAGCTATCGAGATGAACACTCACACGGAAAACTTATATGAGGTTGTTACATAAGGTCTTGGGGAATGGGGACACCATTTGTTTACATGATTTTGTGGCAAATCAGCAAGAATGTTCTGTGAGGATGTAGCACACAGCCCATCTCACTAAGGGGCAACATGCCTAGGCTATGACTGGGTACAATATATGAGGAAACAAATAACAAAGTGAATAGATATTTGGGCACCAAAAACTCATACAAAAAAAAAAAAAAAAACGGTTGATGTATGATCATATACTGGACCGAAGATCCCACTCACCTATGCTAAATACTAACCTAAGCCCATTTCCTTTTACCTACATACCATCTTGAATGCTAGCCTTTCTCCTGTCCCGTCTCAGCCCACGTACCTGTGTGTTATCCGGGCCTCCACCTGCACCAGGGGTAGAATGGCCTCCAGCACCTTGCTGGCCGAGCCAGGCAGCATCTCCAGCACCTTCTTCTCCACCACCATCTTGTCCACGATGGTCTTGAAGTAACGCAGAGCACTCACCACCTCCTTCTCCTGCTCCTCCAGCCGACTCACCTTCTACAGAACAGAAAGAGATAAAAATAGAATGACATGTTCAGCTTGGAAAAATCTGGGTTGTGTTCAGTAGGCCCCAAAAGGATGGAAACCGAGTGAAACGGGGAGGTACTATTTTAACTTTTTCTGTTGCAGAATGGCCCTAATGAACACAATGAAAATGGTAAGCTTGGAGGAAATCAGCTGTCTATGTGACATAATAATTGATGGATGGAGAAAATTGCATTTTCAAAGAAAGCTTAGTCCAGGGTTTAAGATTAAAGCACACCTTTTGACAAAAACAACATGGTAACATTTTTATTTTAATCCACATAACAATTCACATTTCACATTACTGCAGGATTATTTTCCTGCTGTAGCAAACTGACTCACATTAAGATCCTACATACACTGAGTGTACAAAACTTTAGGGAACATTAGGTGAAAGCTGTTATCCCTTATTGATGTCACTTGTTAAATCCACTTCAATCAGGTTAAAGAAGGATTTTTAAGCCTTGAGACAATTGCGAAATGGATTGTGTATGTGTGCCACTCAGCGGGTGAACGGACAAGATAAAATATTTAAGTGCCTTTGAACAGGGTATGGTAGTAGGTGCCAGGCGCACTGGTTTGAGTGTGTCAAGAACTGCAACGCTGCTGGGTTTTTCACGCTCAACAGTTTCCCGTGTGAAGAATGGTCCACCACCCAAAAGACATCCAGCCAACTTGACACAACTGTGGGAAGCATTGGAGTCAACATGGGCCAGCATCCCTGTGGAATGTTTTCCATGTACCATTTGGGACACAGCCTGGGTCTCAGGCTCTCAACCTACTGGTGCTAGCACCTGTAATCCAGCCAGAGGCAGCACTCACAACAACTCAGAAGCCACAGGAAACTCTCAGACAAACACACACAATAGGGCAGAGCAATACAATACAGAGCAAGGCACTGGACGGAAAACAACAACACACACACGTAGGTAAACAATCAGGATAGGTGGGAGAGCTGGGTTTCTCACGGCAAGCACACACACTCACATTACACACACACACACACACACCTTGTTGACAGGTTTCTCTTGGCTCTTGACCGCTGGCTCGACCTGCAGCTGCTTGCCCTTCTTCGATGGCGTCCTCTTGATCTTGGGTGAGTGGAACTTGTCCATCAGCTTCATGGTGAAGGAGAGGTGGGAGCGCTGCGAGTCTGAGGAGGAGAGGAAGAGAGGGATGAGACATCGGTCAGAGGAGAAGGAATGGCAGAGAGGGGGAATAGAAGTAGCCTGGTAGATATGTAGGACTTTGGCACCACAGTGAATGTCAGAGAAGTAGGCTGAAGCACAAACCAGGGAAAAATCAAGCACAAAAAGGAAGAAAGGGTTTTGAAACAGACGGAAATGGGGAGAAACACTCAATTTTAATTTATAATGCTTTACACCCTAATGAACACAACCCAGGCTAAAATAGAGAAATAATAAGAGTCTGAGGGAGATCAATAAGAGACAGTGCCAATCAAATGATCATAGCCCTGACAAAATGGCATTTTAGTAGCAGTGTTTGTGTCAGTGCAGCAGGGCCTAGTGGTTGTACTAGCAGTGGCCCAGCAGCAGGAAGGCTGGTTTAGCCCTATCTGTCTGTGTTCAGCTGAGGGTGCAACAGATATTCCATCAGGTGTAATCATGTTGACATTTCCACTGTCTGACCACCGACTGATAAGACTGCTGCTGGTGTGGTCGTTCCCATCTCTGAGAGGCCAGGCAGATAGGGAGTGCGTGTGCGCGCACACACACACACACACACACACACACACACACACACACACACACACACACAGACAGACAAAGACAGACAGACACACACAGCTGTCAAGCACGCACACGAAAACATGCACACACACACCAATCTTCACTGTCCATTGAGAATAGGCTGGTTAGTGGGAGAAGAGATGGAGAGATGAAAATCGCTTCATGCTGCATAATTGCGAGCAGCTTCATAATGGCAGAGTCATTCAGCAGAGTTTCCCCGAGCTGCTGCTAGAGTGTTGATGAGATTTGGGAGAAGAGATTTTGGAGAACCTCTTTCCTCCCTCTTCCTCCCCCTCTCCGCTGCACACACACACAGACAGAAGCAGGAGATAAACAGCCCTGTTATAAAGCCACCAGGAAAGAGAGAACGAGAGAGAAAGGAGAGAGAGAGAAAGAGACAGTAAAGAGAGAAAGTGATAGAGGCTTGACAGAGCTGCTCTTCTTCCTGATGTAATCCCCTGTACATTTACATTTACATTTTAGTCATTTAGCAGACGCTCTTATCCAGAGCGACTTACAGTTAGTGAGTGCATACATTTGTGGGAATCGAACCCACAACCCTGGCATTGCAAACGCCATGCTCTACCAACTGAGCTACATCCCTGTACAATGTAGTGACCATAGAAATAGAATCTAGACTTTATTTCTATGGTAGTGACAGACATCTGGCTCTGGACCATCATCACTGCAGAACCACTAAGACAAACAACAACAACATAGGCCTCCATTCAGTGTGTTGTCTCTCTTTTTCCTCCAGTCAACAACAAAACACATGCACTCTAGGGTTGAATGGTGGGAACTCGGTTATCGATATTTACTGCCCAAAACCACTCCCTTTTCCCGGGACAAATAGCTGCGAGAAACCGGTAAATTATAATAAATTACTTATATGAACAGCATGACGTGAAACGGAACTGTTAAATTATATGCGATGTCTAAATCTGGCTTCTCCACGGCCTCTGCATGATGAATCATCAACGCTCAGGGTGGGGACATACAGCCCATCTCAGTATGGAGTGCAGTTCACAATACATGTAAACCTATCATCTCATCATGGTCATTAGAATAATGACGATAAGGACAACAAAACTAATTTCATTTAACTGTTGAAAGCAAGGAAGGAATGAAGCAACATTAGAGAAAGAAAGAGGAGGTAGGCTATAGCATTAGGGGAAATATTATAAAATGTATATATGAGTCAGCCTACTAATTATACTTCAAAATTAAAATCAAATTCTCTAGCCTATAGAGTGGCTTGCGGAAGTATTCACCCCCCCTGCCATTTTTCCTATTTTGTTGCCTTACAACCTGGAATTAAAATGGAATTACAGCTGCAAGTCTCTTGGGGTATGTCTCTATAAGCTTGGCACATCTAGCCACTGGGATTTTTGCCCATTCTTCAAGGCAAAACTGCTCCAGCTCCTTCAAGTTGGATGGGTTCCGCTGGTTACAGCAATCTTTAAGTCATACCACAGATTCTCAATTGGATTGAGGTCTGGGCTTTGACTAGGCCATTCCAAGACATTTAAATGTTTCCCCTTAAACCACTCGAGTGTTGCTTTAGCAGTATGCTTAGGGTCATTGTCCTGCTGGAAGGTGAACCTCCGTCCCAGTCTCAAATCTATGGAAGACTGAAAAAGGTTTCCCTCAAGAATTTCCCTGTATTTAGCGCCATCCATCATTCCTTCAATTCTGACCAGTTTCCCAGTCCCTGCCGATGAAAAACATCCCCACAGCATGATGCTGCCACCACCATGCTTCACTGTGGTGATGGTGTTCTCGGGGTGATGAGAGGTGTTGGGTTTGCGCCAGATATAGCGTTTTCCTTGATGGCCAAAAAGCTCAATTTTAGTCTCATCTGACCAGAGTACCTTCTTCCATATGTTTGGGGAGTCTCCCACATGCCTTTTGGCGAACACCAAACGTGTTTGCTTATTTTTTTCTTTAAGCAATGGCTTTTTTCTGGCCATTCTACCGTAAAGCCCAGCTCTGTGGAGTGTACGGCTTAAAGTGGTCCTATGGACAGATACTCCAATCTCCGCTGTGGAGCTTTGCAGCTCCTTCAGGGTTATCTTTGGTATCTTTGTTGCCTCTCTGATTAATGCCCTCCTTGCCTGGTCCGTGAGTTTTGGTGGGCGGCACTCTCTTGGCAGGTTTGTTGTGGTGCCATATTCTTAAATTTTTTTAATAATGGATTTAAATGGTGCTCCGTGGGATGTTCAAAGTCTTGGATATTTTTTTTATAACCCAACCCTGATCTGTACTTCTCCACAACTTTATCCCTGACCTGTTTGGAGAGCTCCTTGGTCTTCATGGTGCTGCTTGCTTAGTGGTGCCCCTTGCTTAGTGGTGTTGCAGACTCTGGGGCCTTTCAGAACAGGTGTATATATACTGAGATCATGTGACAGATCATGTGACACTTAGATTGCACATAGGTGGACTTTATTTCACTAATTATGTGACTTCTGAAGGTAATTGGTTGCACCAGATCTTATTTAGGGGCTTCATAGCAAAGGGGGTGAATACATATGCACGCACCACTTTTCCGTAAATGTTTTTGGGAAACAAGTTATTTTTTGAATTTCACTTCACCAATTTGGACTATTTTGTGTATGTCCATTACATGAAATCCAAATTAAAATCCATTTAAATTACAGGTTGTAATGCAACAAAATAGGAAAAACGGCAAGGGGGATCAATAATTTTGCAAGGCACTGTACTTGTAACTTTGTAGGCCGTATGTGCAGCACCAGAATTGCATGTTCTCTCCCAACTTTATCCTGATTTGAAGGAGGAGCGTAATTCCACTCCATATAATACAGTATAATACAATACAATACAATACAGTAATACAGTTCACACTAAAAAAAGATCAGCCTACTGGAGCTTGTTTCATTTATTTACCCAAGAGAGCATATTGCTAGCTACATCTATGGGCTTTTATGTTTTTATGTCGTGCGTAATGTGCAGTAGCCTATATATTATATATGTATTGGATAACAGCACAATCACTTAGACTTTTTTGGGCTTGGGCTCATAAATTGTATTTAATGTAGAGCTTAGAAAATGTATTTAATGTATGGCTCATCAGGCTCAGGTAGCATCAGGCTTGAATTTTCGATCAAATCTCTAATCAAATCCAGACAAAGGCCTATTTATATGCTTTATATGCGTTTGAATTACACTTCCGGTTTTGGCAGGAAATACCCGGGTTACCCGGGAGAAAAGTGATTTATTCTCGGGATGGAACATTTGTAAAATACCAGGAAAATATTAAACCCTAATGCACTCAGTGAACCTTTCACCTACTCATTCCACCTGTACCCCCTTCACCCCCCTCTCTTTTTATCCATCCCTCATCCCTTCCTTTCTACCATCACTAGGACTCAGAGGCAGTTATAGACCACACCGGACTCATCCAGTAGCAACCAGTTGTTGTTGTGGTTATGAGACATCCATACAGTATCAACCAGTTGTTGTTGGCGTTATGAGACATCCATACAGTATCAACCAGTTGTTGTTGTGGTTATGAGACATCCATCCAGTGGTAACCACTTGTTGTTGTGGTTATGAGACATCCATCCAGTAGTAACCACTTGTTGTTGTGGTTATGAGACATCCATCCAGTAGTAACCACTTGTTGTTGTGGTTATGAGACATCCATCCAGTAGTAACCACTTGTTGTTGTGGTTATGAGACATCCATCCAGTAGTAACCACTTGTTGTTGTGGTTATGAGACATCCATCCAGTAGTAACCACTTGGTGTTGGTACCAGTTGGTGTTGGTCCCGTGTGGCTCAGTTGGTAGAGCATGGCACTTGCAACACCACGGTTGTGGGTTCAGGGGGTGGTTATGAGACGTCTATCCAGTAGTAACCAGTTGGTGTTGTGGTTATGAGACGTCTATCCAGTAGTAACCAGTTGGTGTTGTGGTTATGAGACATCCATCCAGTAGTAACCAGTTGTTGTTGTGGTTATGAGACATCCATCCAGTAGTAACCAGTTGGGGATTTGGTTATGAGACATCCATCCAGTATGACTCCTGGACACTCCTTCATTACAGTGAGATGACATCACTTACCCCTAGGACGAGGACAGCTAGTAGTAGTAGTAGTAGTGAGTTACTCATAGCATACAGCCCCATCCGGTTGGAACTGCCCATCCAGCTACTGATGACTTGTGTGGCCCCTGTGTAACCTTTAACCCTGATAGCTGTTTGAACTGAAAATGGTTGTCAATGTAAGACTTTTCACTTCTGCATTGTATTCTATTGGCTAGCCTTTATTTATTATTGGGTGCCAAGCTTCTATAAAAATGTTTGTTGATGCATTCTGTCAATTTCTCTGAATTATGATTCAACAGTGTATTATTTTCTGATCCAACATCTAGCCTGACCTCAACGTGACCTGCTGCGCCCCAAACCACATTGCTCAAATTACGTCAGAATCATTCTCATACAGAATCATATTGACTATTTGGATTGAGAAACTTCAAGTGACATTCATTCAAGGGATTAAAATCGCATCACTCATAATCAATCCTATGGGCAGCGCAATTTAGCCAAGGATTTTTCTTTAGGCTACTCTTTTTTTTAATCTACTTTTAAAATCAGTAAAAAAAAGCAGGGACCAAGCCAAAAGGTGGTACTAGTGGTAACTAATACACATGAATTGAAATCACAATGGCTGAAGGAAGGTAGAGCTACAGACCGGCAGGTATTAGCTAGTGTTCTCTTTAGAGGGTTTAGCCTATATATAGTGTGTTCTGTCTATCTGCATGTCTGTCTCACAGTAGCAGTGAGTGGAACGGAGAGAGGGGGACTGTCTAGACACATGCGGTACAGAACCCTGGGGGAGGAGAGACAACGTGACACACTCTACTTTTCCTGTTCCTGTCTCTTTCTGGCTGGTTCAATCAATAGTCTGTCTGTGTGTGTGTAACTATGCATGGTATTGACCAGACATATAAGTACCGGTACCTAGCCATATACAGGTAGAGAGATCTCTATATGTCTTGTTTTGTTTTCACTATGCCAATTGTAAGTCATTTGGATGGATACACTAATTTAAACGACCACTTCGTTTTAGCATTATCCAACTGGTTGAGGCAATATCTAGACGACATGTCTGTAGTAGACTAGCCGTGGTAATACTGCATCTGCTTACAGCGTGGTGCTTAACCCATACCCTGAAAATAAATATCTGTATGGCCAGAGATCACATGTCCCTATATTGCATGGATCACTACACCACAGGGTCAAACTGACCTCTAACCTCTGACTCTAACACCCAGGACCCCATCACTCAGTCAGCCCAGGAGACAGTATGTGACGTCACATAGGGCTGTATTCAGTGGCCCAGTGTGTTTACGCAACAGTGACAATCACAGCAGCAGAACTGAGTCACTCTGGGATCAATACAGCAGGCTAGTACCATTTATCATCACCCACTGCCAGTCTGCCACACACACCTGCCTTTGCCTGGCTGGCTGCTCCTCAGGTCTCTCTGGTGTCTCTCTCGTCTCTGTAGCTGGTCTATTCTCTCTCTCTCTCGTCTCTGTAGCTGGTCTATTCTCTCTCTCTCAAATCAAATCAAATTTTATTGGTCACATGCGCCGAATACAACAGGTGCAGACATTACAGTGAAATGCTTACTTACAGCCCTTAACCAACAGTGCATTTATTTTAAATAAAACAACAACAAAAAAAGTGTTGAGAAAAAAAAAGAGCAGAAGTAAAATAAAGTAACAGTAGGGAGGCTATATATACAGGGGGGTACCGTTGCAGAGTCAATGTGCGGGGGCACCGGCTAGTTGAGGTAGTTGAGGTAATATGTACATGTGGGTAGAGTTAAAGTGACTATGCATAAATAATTAACAGAGTAGCAGCAGCGTAAAAAGGATGGGGTGGGGGGGGCAGTGCAAATAGTCCGGGTAGCCATGATTAGCTGTTCAGGAGTCTTATGGCTTGGGGGTAGAAGCTGTTGAGAAGTCTTTTGGACCTAGACTTGGCACTCCGGTACCGCTTGCCGTGCGGTAGCAGAGAGAACAGTCTATGACTAGGGTGGCTGGAGTCTTTGACAATTTTGAGGGCCTTCCTCTGACACCGCCTGGTATAGAGGTCCTGGATGGCAGGAAGCTTGGCCCCAGTGATGTACTGGGCCGTACGCACTACCCTCTGTAGTGCCTTGCAGTCGGAGGCCAAGCAGTTGCCATACCAGGCGGTGATGCAACCAGTCAGGATGCTCTCGATGGTGCAGCTGTAGAATTTTTTGAGGATCTGAGGACCCATGCCAAATCTTTTCAGTCTCCTGAGGGGGGAATAGGCTTTGTCGTGCCCTCTTCACGACTGTCTTGGTGTGTTTGGACCAGGATAGTTTGTTGGTGATGTGGACACCAAGGAACTTGAAGCTCTCAACCTGTTCCACTACAGCCCCGTCGATGAGAATGGGGGCGTGCTCAGTCCTCTTTTTTTTCCTGTAGTCCACAATCATCTCCTTTGTCTTGGTTCACGTTTGAGGGAGAGGTTGTTGTCCTGGCACCACACGGCCAGGTCTCTGACCTCCTCCCTATAGGCTGTCTCATCGTTGTCGGTGATCAGGCCTACCACTGTTGTGTCGTCGGCAAACTAATGATGGTGTTGGAGTCGTGCATGGCCATGCAGTCATGGATGAACAGAGAGTACAGGAGGGGACTGAGCACGCACCCCCTGAGGGGCCCCCGTTGTTGAGGATCAGTGTGGCAGATGTGTGTTACCTACCCTTACCACCTGGGGGCGGCCCGTCAGGAAGTCCAGGATCCAGTTGCCAGAGGGAGGTGTTTAGTCCCAGGATCCTTAGCTTAGTGATGAGCTTAGAGGGCACTATGGTGTTGAATGCTGAGCTGAGTCAATGAATAGCATTCTCACGTAGGTTGTTCCTCTTGTCCAGGTGGGAAAGGGCAGTGGTGGAGCGCAATAGAGATTGCATCATCTGTGGATCTGTGGGGGGGAAAAATTGGGTGGGTTTGGGGTTGGGGGGGAAAGCGTTGAGGGGAGATGCCATTTTCGACTTTGGCGAGAAAAGGGTGGGTTTGGGTTTTTTAATTTTTGGAGGGATTTAAAGCCTTGGGCGGGGGGGGAAAGGTGGTTTTTTTAAAAAAGTTTTTAAAGCCCAGGGACATTTTGAAACAGGAAGAAATTTCATTTGGGACTGTGGGAAAAGTCTGGTAACCGTTTGGCCCCTGCGGCTTGTAATTTGTTTTAAGGGGCTTAAAAGCTTATAACAGCCACGGAACGGGGACTTACCTGTCCCCCAACAGTGGTTTTTTTCCCGGAAATGGAGGTTTGTGTCAACGGGCCGGGGTTGCCTTTGGGTAGCTTTTTTTGGGGGTTTTTTTTTAGTTTTAAAAGGTCCCCAATGGGAAGCGAGGGGGTTATCCCGGTTAGGGGGAGGTTGCGGGGGGGGGGGAAAAATTTTTTTAAAGGGGGTAGGGGAAAAAAGAGAGAGAGCGAGAGAGAAAGAGAGGAGAGAGAAGAGAGAGAGAGAGAGAGCGAGAGAGGCTAGAGAGAGCGCAGAGAGCAGCGAGCGGAGAGAGAGAGAGAGATCCTATATATCTCTCTCGACTCTATCTCTCTATCTCTCTCTTCTCTCTCTCCTCTATCTCTCTCTCTCTCTCTCTCTCTGATAGTGAAACCTGTTTAATGTTCACAAGTTCACAAATAAGCATTGAAATGCAGAAAAAAGAAAAACAAATGCCATTTAGCAGACGCTTTTATCCAAAGCGACTTACAGTCATTCGTGCATACATTTTTTTTGTGTATGGGTGGTCCCGGGGATCGAACCCACTACCTTGGCGTTACAAGCGCCGTGCTCTACCAGCTGAGCTACAGAGGACCACCAGTAACATGCCGTTCGTAATGTCACCACTTGGTGTCAGCGTCAGCATTTGTCTTGAGTAGATTTACGACAGTGTTTACAACACTCAAAGGTAATGTAAACAAACACTTTTTGGAAACCTTGCAATGAGAGTACGTTATGACAAGCACAAGCCAGCTGTTCATTACGACAATATTTTCTTACAGAAACCATATGTCTTCAATACAAAATGTATTGGCTATAAATTTCAACTGCAAATGGCATGTGCTGATGACAAAACGTTTATGCAGGCACTGGTTTTAGTCACATGTTCTAATTTTGCTAGCTAGCTAACGTTAGCTACTTTTCTCATCATGAATGCAAGCACATGGCCTGAATGATAGATCTGCGCCAACTGTCTTGCTTTTTGCAGATTGCATATTTGGGAAAACTAACTAAATAAGCCCACCAGCTAACATAATAGGTCCAGACAGTAACAGTGTTCTTTTTGTATCAAGAACGAGTGTTCACTTTGGCGCCAATCCAGTGTTAGCACATAAGTATCACAGCTTGCTAGCTAGCTAAGCTAACTACCCTCTTCAGGCAATATAATATAATAATAATATAATATGCCATTTAGCAGACGCTTTTATCCAAAGCGACCACTGAACATTTCAAAAAAACGTATTTGTTTATTCTATGTATATAATAGAATTGGCGCTTTATCTGTGGAATAAAGACTTGATACAAATATTTATGTGAAAGGCTAATATCGGCCGATAATATCGGTCAACCGATTTATCAGTCGGGCTCTAATGTTCATTAGAAGTGTGTGTGTGGAATTGAAGGCTGCTAGGCTAAATGACAGCAGTAAGTCACAGAGGTCTCAGTGCCAGCTGTTAAGTAATGGGACGAGTTCAAAGCAGCCGACAGAGAGATTGACAGAGAGAGAGCAAGATAGATAGAGAGAGGGGAAGGAGAGCAAGTGAAAAAACAGAGAGAGAAAGAGCAATACAGAGATAAGAGAGAGATCGAGAGAGATCAGCTAAAAGCAGTAGAGGGGATGGGGTGATGATTAAAATGAGAGTGAATCATCCACTTAACTAAGTGGGACTCCCTTCATTTCCTCAAAGCACACATTAGCAGAAATGATGCTTGGCGAATGACTAACAGAGTTAGCAATCACTTCCCTGTGCTCTTCTGGGAGCTACAGACTGTGTGTGTGTGTGTGTGTGTGTGTGTGTGTGTGTGTGTGTGTGTGTGTGTGTGTGTGTGTGTGAGAGAGAGAGAGTGAGTGAGTGAGTTCCTTGTCTTAGCACTAAGAGTTTAGGCTGTGTGTGTGTGTGTGTGTGTGTGTGTGTGTGTCACACTGTATAAAAACACAAGTGATTTAAAACGTGCATAATTAAAAGCCCACGATAAGAAGCATTAAAAACAGCTTCACTAAGTGATTGACATAAAGAGACTACACACACAAACGCTTACACACACACACTCATGGTCTCAATAGACAGAAATAAATCAGCTGTTGCCATCATACCCACAGATCTGAAATGTTGCAGGCCGAGGGAGGGAAAGTTACGAGATGGTTACGAGAGCAGCTTCTGCTATTACCTTAACTTCATAGTTCATAAACACGCTACTCTTCTTAGAAATGGATAGTACCGGAATGCTCTACCATCATGGGTGTACCACATAATTCATAGACCTGACATGCAGTATAGATATCCATGGCTAAATGAATTATAAAACAGGATATTAGGGTTGTCACGATAACAGTATCGCGATACTACGAGGTATCGTGGCAAGGAAGCAAAACATGAAGCGTACTGAATTTCCTGAGGAAAACAGTCCTAATGTTAGAAACAAACAGCCTGATGATGTCACCCAGAATCCCATGTTTCTTTTCGACGCTATAGCACACAATATGTTACATACAGTATGAAAAAAAGTGAAAATGTATGCACTCACTAACTGTAATTCGCTCTGGATAAGAGCGTCTGCTAAATGACTAAAATGTCAAATGTATATAGTAGGTTTTTTTAAAGGACCAAAGAGTTTAATCTGCTTCGTGTTTTCCTTTTTACCATGGAAAATCAGGTATCGCGATACTGGTATCGTGACAACCCTACAGGATATATAAGGTATATTACTGAAATAGTGCAGTGAGACCTGGTGGAACAGTGGCTAACGTAAGCCTAGCCCTAGCCTATCTGCTATTAGACTCAAGCTGTCCTAGTCACAGATGAAGACCCCACTGAGTAACAGATGTGAAGTTTAAAATAAAGACCACAGAAATGACAGAGCCCAACCAAATATAATCTCTAGGCAAGAGACCTACAGAGAAATGGAATGGAATGCAAGACTTCTCAAAGCACGTGAGACCCCCCCAAAAAAGTTGAGTGCTGAGTGAATGATTTATGCATCTCCATAGTTTTGATGTCTATACATGTGTTGCCTCATATTGGGGTAGGCTTGGCAGGGATCATGGAGGACGGCGTCCTGTCCAGTGATCGGTGGGTTTTTTCCTGGTGGGCTTCCAGTCCGAGCCAAACACCAGAACAATGAGCCACAGGAAGGAGCACTGGGGCGGACAGGAAGTCAGATTGTGTTAAGGGGAGTGGGGTCGGTACACACCCCTTTGGGACTCCAGTGACCAACCACCCTCCATCCACTCCCATATAGTAGAGAAGCTGACTAGTGTGACTATGCCACATGTCAACTCAATGACTTGTAGACATGTGGATGGGAAGTCTTCTTCCAGTGCGTCTACCCATTCCTCTATCCCTCTCCTCCCCTTAAAGGAGCACAGTCCATACTATGTTTTTAACTGACTTGCCTGGTTACATAAATGTTATATTGAAATAAATAAAATACAACACCCTGACCGTGTAAGTAAACTCTATTACCCTACAGAGTTGCCGACTACGCACCACATCAACTCAGAACTACATTTTAATGTATTTCCCCAAACTACACCACCCATACAGACCTTGCTTTAGGACATGTGCAGGACAACCGCTCCTTCTCTGTTATGTCCTCCATCCGTCCCTCGCTCTCATTATTCGCAGGCTACGTGACATGCGCTCACACACACTGTCTCCGTGTGTCAATTAGTTTTAATGCAGTTCAATTTGCGGTGGGACATTTCACAGCGAGTAAATATCAATACACTGGGAACTGACGGACTGGTGGACCATGTCTAACAGAGCATAGTGAGAATGTAATCCACAGATAGAGCTACTAGTACTGTGTGGATCTATCGTACTTAAGTGATAATGCCTGAGAAGCCGGTGTTTGGTTTATACAAATCTCCGCTGTTGAAAACCAAATGCTAATCTAAAAGAAATAGGAGATAATGTCTAGATGCTTTTTATAGTGGAGATGAAGTTTATACATTTCCTGGCTGGGCTGATGAGACATTGGATTGCGCAGTGAGATGGAACAGAGTACATAGCCATTTCAACGTCATAGCTTTAGCCAGTGGTAACTTGTGGAATAGACACCGGCTGGAATGCGGTTTTAACCAATTAGCATCCAGGATTAGACCCACCCGTTGTATAATATTATAATTGACACGTGTGTGACTGTCTTTTGATGTCCCTCTATGGCTGTGATGCCCGCATACAATCTATTTTTGACAAACCTGATATGCGTCGGCTCTAACCTCAAGTTTAAAAGATGACAAATTGAAGGCCTGCAGATGTCTACAAGAGGAGATGCCCAAGTCTAATGAGGAGGTACGCCTATCATGCGACTATCAGGGGGAAACCCAGCGCTGTCAGTTTCAGTGCCTTCAGAAAGTATTCACACACACTTTTTCCACATTTTGTTGCGGATAATCTTTAGATTTTTTTGTCACTGGCCTACACACAATACCCCATAATGTAAAAGTGGAATAATTTTGTTGTTGTTGAAAATTTTCCACATTAATTAAAAATCTAATGCTGAAATGTCTTAAGTCAATAAGTATTCAACCCCTTTGTTATGGCAAGCCTAAGTTCAGGAGTAAACATGTGCTTAACAAGTCACATAATAAGTTGCATGGACTCACTCTGTATGCAATAATAGTGTTTAACCAGATTTTTGAATGACTACATCATCTCTCTACCCCACACATACAATTACAGTGGGGAGAACAAGTATTTGATACACTGCCGATTTTGCAGGTTTTCCTACTTACAAAGCATGTAGAGGTCTGTAATTTTTATCATAGGTACACTTCAACTGTGAGAGACGGAATCTAAAACAAAAATCCAGAAAGACACATTGTATGATTTTTTATAATTAATTTGCATTTTATTGCATGACATAAGTATTTGATCACCTACCAACCAGTAAGAATTCCGTCTCTCACAGACCTGTTAGTTTTTCTTTAAGAAGCCCTCCTGTTCTCCACTCATTACCTGTATTAACTGCACCTGTTTGAACTCGTTACCTGTATAAAAGACACCTGTCCACACACTCAATCAAACAGACTCCAACCTCTCCACTATGGCCAAGACCAGAGAGCTGTGTAAGGACATCAGGGATACAATTGTAGACCTGCACAAGGCTGGGATGGGCTACAGGACAATAGGCAAGCAGCTTGGTGAGAAGGCAACAACTGTTGGCGCAATTATTAGAAAATGGAAGAAGTTCAAGATGACGGTCAATCACCCTCAGTCTGCGGCTCCATGCAAGATCTCACCTCGTGGGGCATCAATGATCATGAGGAAGGTGAGGGATCAGCCCAGAACTACACGGCAGGACCTGGTCAATGACCTGAAGAGAGCTGGGACCACAGTCTCAAAGAAAACCATTAGTAACACACTACGCCGTCATGGATTAAAATCCTGCAGCGCACGCAAGGTCCCCCTGCTCAAGCCAGCGCATGTCCAGGCCCGTCTGAAGTTTGCCAATGACCATCTGGATGATCCAGAGGAGGAATGGAAGAAGGTCATGTTGTCTGATGAGACAAAAATAGAGCTTTTTGGTCTAAACTCCACTCGCCGTGTTTGGAGGAAGAAGAAGGATGAGTACAACCCCAAGAACACCATCCCAACCGTGAAGCATGGAGGTGGAAACATCATTCTTTGGGGATGCTTTTCTGCAAAGGGGACAGGACGACTGCACCGTATTGAGGGGAGGATGGATGAGGCCATGTATCGCAAGATCTTGGCCAACAACCTCCTTCCCTCAGTAAGAGCATTGAAGATGGGTCGTGGCTGGGTCTTCCAGCATGACAATGACCCGAATCACACAGCCAGGGCAACTAAGGAGTGGCTCCGTAAGAAGCATCTCAAGGTCCTGGAGTGGCCTAGCCAGTCTCCAGACCTGAACCCAATAGAAAATCTTTGGAGGGAGCTGAAAGTCCGTATTGCCCAGCGACAGTCCCGAAACCTGAAGGATCTGGAGAAGGTCTGTATGGAGGAGTGGGCCAAAATCCCTGCTGCAGTGTGTGCAAATCTGGTCAAGACCTACAGGAAACGTATGATCTCTGTAATTGCAAACAAAGGTTTCTGTACCAAATATTAAGTTCTGCTTTTCTGATGTATCAAATACTTATGTCATGCAATAAAATGCAAATGAATTACTTAAAAATCATACAATGTGATTTTCTGGATTTTTGTTCTCACAGTTGAAGTGTACCTATGATAAAAATTACAGACCTCTACATGCTTTGTAAGTAGGAAAACCTGCAAAATCGGCAGTGTATCAAATACTTGTTCTCCCCACTGTATCTGTAAGGTCCCTCAGTCGAGCAGTGAATTTCCAACACAGATTCAACCACAAAGACCAGGGAGGTTTTCCATTGCCTTGCAAAGAAGGGCAACTATTGGTAGATGGGTAAAATAAAAAAAGCAGACATTGAAGTTATTAATTACACTTTGGATGGTATATTTATACACCCAGTCACTACAAAGATACAGGCGTCTTTTCTAACTCAGTTGCCAGAGAGGAAGGAAACCGCACAGGGATTTCACAATATTTTTGACGGAATGACAGTATTTCATGTTTTTGAATAATAAAAGTTCTAAATATGCTTTATGAGTAGTTCATGACCCAAGGGTGGAAACACAAATAAGTGATTTTAAAGGGGGCTTTCTCAATTTATACTGTTCAATCCAACTCCAAACAAACATAATTTTCAGCATTTTGATCAATTTCTACACTTCCTGCACTTTTTCATCATTTCCACACTGTGCCACGCAGTACGAAATGGGCAAAAATATATAGGCCTAGTTAATTGGTGAAGTGTTGGAATCATGGAAATATAATGATTATTCTAATTCAATAGTTGGAATATAGTGGGCAGCACCTTGAATACATTGTTGTTTGACATGACAACAAATGAATAAACCAGGGAGGAAAATATTGACAGGGTAGGAACAAACGTTTTAGTCAGTGTTTCCAGGTGACCCTAATTAGATGTTACATCCTTCGTGTAGCTAGCCAACATATTCATGCTTCGCATATTGCTCTCTGATAAGATACCATTGCACAGACATGCTTATCTAGGCCTACACCAGCACTGGTACCAGTCAGTATTAGCCTGCTAGCTAGCTAGCTACACTTGCTCTGACTCTTAGTACATTTAGTAAGTTAGCTAGCCAGCAAACTAGCGATTAGCATTAGCGGCCAACACAAATTATTTTAGCAACACCTTGCTAAGACAAACCAGCAGATAGTTTGTGTATCTTACTGTCTGCAAACTACTAAGTGTATAGAACGCTTGTGGAAATCAGCATGTCACCAACATTGTTGCTTCCATCTGACAATGCAGTGTGAACTGCAAGAAAGCGCTCGTGACTCTGTGGTCGAGCAATTGCTCTCCCCTTGAGTGACAGGGGGCGGGGCTTGGTGTGGTTAGCGCCATGCAGCAGGAAGAGGAGAGCGAGATGACGCAAGTAGCAAACAGAGTAAACTATAAAAACGGATATTATACGTGCCGGAGTTGCGTATCACAATTAACAAACCAAACGTTGAAATATCGTTATAGAAGTTAAAGTAAAAACTAAAACCGGTCCTTGTATCAATACCGATATATAGTAAAATATGGTATACCATCTAGCCCTATTTCACCATGAGGCCAATGGTGACTTTAAAACAGTTACTGAGTTTAATGGCTGTGATAGGAGAAAACTGAGGATGGATCAACAACATTGTAGTTACTCCACAATACTAATCTAATTGACAGATTGAGAAGAAGGAAGCACGCAGAGAATAAAAAGGCACTACAGTAATACTTCAAAAGAATGTGGCAAAGCAATTCACATGTTTGGGGCAAATCCAATATAACACATTACTGAGTAACGCTCTCCATATTTTCAAGCATAGTGGTGGTTGCATCATGTTATGGGTATGCTTGTAATCACTAAGAACAGGGGGGGGGGGTGTCAAGATAAAAAAGAAACAGAATGGAGCTAAGCACAGGCAAAATCCTAGAGGAAAACCTGGTTCAGTCTGCTTTCCACCAGACACTGGGAGATGAATTCACCTTTCAGCAGGACAATAACCTAAAACACAAGACCAAATATACATTGGATTGCTTACCAAGAAGACAGTGAATGTTCCTGAGTGGCTGAGTCACAGCTTTGACTTAAATCTACTTGAAAATCTATGGCAAGACCCGAAAATGGTTGTCTAGCAATGATCAACAACCAATTTGACAGAGCTTGAAGAATTTTGAAAAGAATAATGGGCAAATGTTGCACAATCCAGGTGCGGAAAGCTCTTAGAGACTTACCCAGACGGACTCACAGCTGTAATATCTGCCAAAGTATTGACTCAGGGGTGTGAATACCTATGTAAATGAGATATTTCTGTATTTCATTTTCAATAAATTTATAAAAACATGTTTTCACATTGTCATTATGGGGTATTGTGTGTAGATGGGCGAGAGAAAGAAAGCTATTTAATAAATGTTGAATTCAGGCTGTAACACAACAACATGTGGAATAAGTCAAGGGGTATGAATACTTTCTGAAGGCACTGTATTTATCGCTGCCAAATGACTCAAGATCACACACAAGCCAGTCAGAATACTACCGGTGAAATGGCAATCACTGATGTGAACTGTGACTCTAAACTACGGATGTGACAAATGGACAATTTTTCTTAACATTTAAAATTCCACGTGAAATCACAATGCAGCTGCGCTGTTGCCAACATCGGTTTGGCTCTCACGGAGCGTCAATTTAAGATGATTAAGCATTGCATCTGTACTACCTTTACTGTTCCTCAATTTCACCTCGCAAAGTTTGCGTTTCCTTCTCATTTAACTTCTCAAAGTATTGCCATACAAGGCTTAGCTGCTGTCACCTATTCAGACTCAGAGGAGCCATTCTGTGTCAAATGTAGGCAAGTAGCACTTTGACAGTAAGGAAAAGGCTGGGATAAGGGTGTGTGTACATTGTGTGGGGCACACATAAACATTGACCTAGTCATGCCTCAATGCCTCCTCTGTTCAACTAAGTATGGAGCCAACAAAAGTCGCGATCCATCTCTCTCTGCCTGCCTCCCTCACTCTTTGCCTTGGGGAGTGTCATTTCTCACTAACGGCGTGTTGATTATATGGTTGAATGGTGCAAGGCACAAGCCGTATTAGGGCCGGCGCTAAAACACGCTGCTACACCATGAGGGCCCCGAGGTGAGGAAAAAAACTACTACACAAAACCAATGAAATCTATGGGGCTCTCCTCTCTCACACACACAGGCTGTAACAAAGAGAATAGCCTGGTGATACAAACGAAAGACATGCGTGTGTCCTATATAGCCTATCCAGCATATTCAACCAGCCCAGCAACTAACAGCAAGCCTCCTGGGCCTATAACCAATCCATATGCAACAGACTTGAAAAAACGCTAGGTCAGACGATCTGACAACCATTTATATTCCATAGCAGGGCTGAAACTAAAGTTCTAAAGGACTTTATCCTATCTGACATGCTCCCAATAAAGTTACATTAATTGGATTGAATGCTCCCAAGCGCAGTGGGCTTACCAGCCATTATGTGTGTACTCCTACATAAAATCCATGTAAAAGGGTACTTTTGAAGACAGATCCTTTTGGGGGTCTTTTTGTTCTCTTGAATGTTGTAGAACTATCTGTGACCGTATCTAAGCTCAGAGGTTGCAAATGTTCATCCATCTATTTATATGGATCAGATCTTGAGGTCTTATCATGGACAGTAGGGATGGGGGGGTGTATTAGCTTATGGGAACACTTGGCACGCCACCAGCTCAGTGGGGCAGTATGGGTGTCCATGGCGGCAGCACAGTGCCTGGGTGCTGGGTCATCCAATTGTCCTGTACATGCACACACACTCATGGACCGCGCACGCACACACACACACAAATACCCTATCTACGCTATTCATGAGGCTATTCATCCAAACAGTGCAGCTGAGAGGATGCCACAGGCTCTGTCGACATCAACAACAAGATAAAAACAAAGGCTGACTCAACAAAAAGACTCAAATACAAGCAAGAATGAACCAACTGGACTGCAGTCAAATGGCTCACAAGCCTTTGCAGAGGGCTTTTGCTATTGAGGCTGTGACCCAAATGCTAGTATAAACAACAAGCACTCTCTCACCTACAGTGAGGGAAAAAAGTATTTGATCCCCTGCTGATTTTGTACGTTTGCCCACTGACAAAGATATGATCAGTCTACGATTTTAATGGTAGGTTTATTTGAACAGTGAGAGACAGAATAACAACAAAAAAATCCAGAAAGACGCATGTCAAAAATGTTATAAATTGATTTGCATTTTAATGAGGGAAATAAGTATTTGACCCCCTCTCAATCAGAAAGATTTCTGGCTCCCAGGTGTCTTTTATGCAGGTAACGAGCTGAGATTAGGAGCACACTCATAAAGGGAGTACTCATAATCTCATCTTGTTACCTGTATAAAAGACACCTGTCCACAGAAGCAATCAATCAATCAGATTCCAAACTCTCCACCATGGCCAAGACCAAAGAGCTCTCCAAGGATGTCAGGGACAAGATTGTAGACCTACACAAGGCTGGAAGGGGCTACAAGACCATCGCCAAGCAGCTTGGTGAGAAGGTGACAACAGTTGGTGCGATTATTCGCAAATGGAAGAAACACAAAATAACTGTCAATCTCCCTCGGCCCGGGGCTCCATGCAAGATCTCAACTCGTGGAGTTGCAATGATCATGAGAACAGTGAGGAATCAGCCCAGAACTACACGGGAGGATCTTGTCAATGATCTCAAAGCAGCTGGGACCATAGTCACCAAGAAAACAATTGGTAACACACTACGCCGTGAAGGACTGAAATCCTGCAGCGCCCGCAAGGTCCCCCTGCTCAAGAAAGCACATATACAGGTCCGTCTGAAGTTTGCCAATGAACATCTGAATGATTCAGAGGAGAACTGGGTGAAAGTGTTGTGGTCAGATGAGACCAAAATCGAGCTCTTTGGCATCAACTCAACTCGCCGTGTTTGGAGGAGGAGGAATGCTGCCTATGACCCCAAGAACACCATCCCCACCGTCAAACATGGAGGTGGAAACCTTATGCTTTGGGGGTGTTTTTCTGCTAAGGGGACAGGACAACTTCACCGCATCAAAGGGACGATGGACGGGGCCATGTACCGTCAAATCTTGGGTGAGAACCTCCTTCCCTCAGCCAGGGCATTGAAAATGGGTTGTGGATGTGTATTCCAGCATGACAATGACCCAAAACACATGGCCAAGGCAACAAAGGAGTGGCTCAAGAAGAAGCACATTAAGGTCCTGGAGTGGCTTAGCCAGTCTCCAGACCTTAATCCCATAGAAAATCTGTGGAGGGAGCTGAAGATTCGAGTTGCCAAACGTCAGCCTCGAAACCTTAATGACTTAGAGAAGATCTGCAAAGAGGAGTGGGACAAAATCCCTCCTAAGATGTGGGCAAACCTGGTGGCCAACTACAAGAAACGTCTGACCTCTGTGTTTGCCAACAAGGGTTTTGCCACCAAGTACTAAGTCATGTTTTGCAGAGGGGTCAAATACTTATTTCCCTCTTCAAAATGCATATCAATTTATAAAAAAATGTACATGCGTTTTTCTGGATTTTTGTTTTGTTATTCTGCCTCTCACTGTTCAAATAAACATACCATTAAAATTATAGACTGATCATGTCTTTGTCAGTGGGCAAACATACAAAATCAGCAGGGGATCAAATACTTTTTTCCCTCACTGTACATACATGTAGGCCTAAACTCCTTCATACCATGATGTCCACAGAGCCATAGGCAAGGATAGGATTATGGTTATTATAGCATTTCTGTCATATGACCTCCCGTCAGTAGGCCTAAACCCTGTCATGGTGGTCACGTTTTCTACTGTTCTAGCTGGATGTGTATGCGTGTGCGTGTGGGTGCGTGGCCTGGGTGTGTGTCATTCTGGACTGGGTACCCCTCCTGTTCCTTCCCCCCTGACGCCAGCCAGGTCACTGCCACTATTTCCTGTCCCCTTCCCCCGCCGGCCCCCTCCCATCCTCCCTACACGCATTCACAGCCCTGAGCTGCCTGGGTAAACAACATGCTGACTAACCTAGGACCGCCAAGCTCACAATGCACACATACATTATATGCACGCCACACACACACACACACTTCAAGTGACCTTCTGTGTACTGATACTGTAGTTTGGTCCATTTTTCAGCATGTATTTTGGCCGCCGGCCCTTTTTTGTGTTTTAGCAGTATGTTGTGAGAGAGAGAGGCTGGGCTTGCAGCAGGTCACCTGAGACAAGCAGGCTAACTAAAGCATCACAAACATATAGAAATTAGGTCCGGGACGATGCCAGTATCATGATACTCGTTAGTATCGTGGCAAGGGAAAAAAAACACGAAGCAGATTTCTTTAGGAAAACAGCCCTAATGTTGGAAACAAACATCATGATGTTGTCATCCAGAGTTACATGTATTTATTTTCCAAGCTATAGCACACAATATTTTACATACAGCAGGTTTTTAAAGCTGCACTATGCAGAAATCCTCCAGAGTCCTCTTTGCATTCACATTGCTATGTTTATAAAGGAACCAATATCTTTTTCCAACATTCACTCAATGCACTCTGGGTTTTACAAAGTGTAGGACAAACAATTCCATCAGAATGTGTTATCGGACAGCTAGATATACCTACTTACATTTTGGAAGCTAAAAGATTGCATTTAGTTAAAATATGAGACATAATAATTGTAATTTGATTGGTAACAGAATAAATAGCAATAGAATAACTGCAGAATAAATAATGCTGTAATTGAAAATTGTACACCCAAGGTAGGCTACTGCCCCTTTAAGAGCTAGAATAGATTTTATACCCTGTTGTTTATACAAACCTATGTTGTGATTCTCACCAAATATAGTCTTCTCACACTATTCAAACCCCACGATAATAAGCAGCTTATGAAGCTCTTAGCCTATAGATCACATATATATAGATCACATATATTGCAAACAAATAATCTGAACTAAAAACCTCACACATTTTGGAATTTCTGTGCTTCCTTGACAATCGCTAATCAATATCCCAAAACGGCACACCTTTTCTTCCGCGAATCTGCACATCATCATCTTCTCTCTTTTGAGGCACCAATGTGAGGGTTTATGGCAGGGGAAACGCTGTTGCAGTAGTCTAGTGTGTGGTGCAGGAATAATGACAAGTGAACCTGGGGAGCTTTGCATTCACATTGTCCTAAAAAAGAGAACCGGACCACGGAATTCAAGCGAACCGAAATTTGCGTACCGTAAGTCAGCTACAAACTGATAGAAATGTCCGTACGTCAGCTACAAACTGACAGAAATGTGTGTACGTCAGCTACAAACTGACAGAAATGTTCGTACAGCAGCTACAAACTGACAGAAATGTAGGTACAGCAGCTACAAACTGACAGAAATGTCTGTAAGTCAGCTACAAACTGATAGAAATGTCCGTAAGTCAGCTACAGCTACAAACTGATAGAAATGCCAGTTCAGCAGCTACAAACTGATAGAAATGCCAGTTCAGCAGCTACAAACTGATAGAAATGTCCGTACAGCAGCTACAAACTGACAGAAATGTCCGTACAGCAGCTACAAACTGATAGAAATGTCCGTTCAGCAGCTACAAACTTATAGAAATGTCTGTACAGCAGCTACAAACTTATAGAAATGTCTGTACAGCAGCTACAAACTGACAGAAATGTAGGTACAGCAGCTACAAACTGACAGAAATGTAGGTACAGCAGCTACAAACTGACAGAAATGTAGGTACAGCAGCTACAAACTGATAGAAATGTCAGTTCAGCAGCTACAAACTGATAGAAATGTAGGTACAGCAGCTACAAACTGACAGAAATGTAGGTACAGCAGCTACAAACTGACAGAAATGTGTGTACGTCAGCTACAAACTGATAGAAATGTCAGTACAGCAGCTACAAACTGATAGAAATGTCAGTTCAGCAGCTACAAACTGATAGAAATGTCAGTACAGCATCTACAAACTGACAGAAATGTCCGTACAGCAGCTACAAACTGACAGAAATGTCCGTACAGCAGCTACAAACTGACAGAAATGTCCGTACAGCAGCTACAAACTGACAGAAATGTGTGTACGTCAGCTACATGGCCAGGAAAATGAATGAGAGGTGGAAAATGAGATGACCCCTGGTCCTTCTTGTCTCTTATTCTGAAACGGTGCCACTTTTTTGGCCATCTTTCATCTCGTCTATAGACTTTAGGGCCTTTCCTATATTGATATAAATGCAGTCAGCAGCTGAGAGCAGAGAGACATATACCATCTGATCCAGGGAGATAAACACTAGGCCCTATAGCAGTAGCAGCTCCGTATGATGTGAACCACTGTTGTTTGGTGGTGGAGAGAGAGAAAGACAGAGAGATATGGCAATATGTACATTGTTACGTCATGCCAATAAAGCAAATTGAATTGAAAGAGGTGGAGAGAGGCAGAGGGAGAGAGAAAAAAAGGCAGAGAGAGAGAAAGGCAGAGAGAGAGAGAGAGAGAAAAAGGCAGAGAGAGAGGGAGAGAGCCTCTAAAGCTCTTCAGACAGACACTCGAAGCACACACAGCCCCAGAAGAGCAAATTACTTCAGCGCTGCTTAAGTGTGAGCAAGAACTAATGATGATGAGATTAGTAAATGTCCTTTAGCACATTGGAGAGAAGAGAGTACTACTAGCCTCTTTCTCTCGCTCGCTCTCTAGACAATCCTCCTCTGTTCATTCAGCTCACACTCTGTCAGTGCTGAGAGAGATGAGGACTACGGAGAGATAGGGGGCATCAGCTGGGAATCCTTCCCTACATGAGATGCTCAGAGTGGGCAGGACTGGCCAGGAGAGGTCCCTGCCGGGGTCTAGCCTCCAGACGGCCTGTTGCAGGAGGAGAGGGAGAGGACATGAGGAAGTGGGTCAGGCCAAGCCTGATGTACTCAAGCAGAAAGACCCCACACTGCCTAGAGGGGCTGCAAGCAACCGACCGTCGCACTGCCTGCTGGGATGACTAGTGTGTGTATGTGTGCGTGTGTGTGCACGTGTGAGTCATGCTGTGTGACACAGATGTCTGAGGGATTGGTGAGGGGGCAAACGGCTGTCATGGGGTTGGGAAGAGAGGGAAGAGAGGGTGGAGAGAGTTCACACACACCCTTCTCTGCCTCCTATTTCAACTGGGTTCGGAAATGGATTAGTGGAGGAAGGGATACCCCCTTTCACACACACACACCCCTGACATGCCTAAACAGGGAGCCCTGAAGTTTCACATTCCCCACACGCCTCGTCCTGTCCCCTAGTCAGCCTAAGACGCTGCTATTTCTGCTCCCCTCCCCCCTCCTCTCAGGCTACAGAAACAGAACACACATAATGAGGTTTAGATTATTTTACATTACACTACATTACATTACATTACACTACATACACCAACTCCTGCAGGATGTACACGGCTCCACAAGGGGGCAAAAGGGGGCTTTGCCCCATCAGTTGAAACTTGTGCCCCCTCAGTTTTAGTTTTAGAATCCAAAAAAGTTCAAATGATTAAGTGCCAGGTTGCTGCAAAATCTGTATCTCCGCTGTGTCAGCACAATGGACAGAGCGCGCCGTGGTGTGTGCATGGGGGCTATGGAAAGCCACTGGGGTGCAGGGTTTCCATTAGCCGGTAATTGCCAGCTTTTGGACGATACAATTTATGAAAAGCTGATGAATAAAATTATTGCCGGCCAAATTGTCCAGGGCTGCCCTGCTGGTGAGGAGAGGCTACTGTTGATTGCGAAGATTGAGTCCTTTTTTCATTGAAGTAAAACGAAAGTTAGAGAGTATGCCTACAGGGAAAAGCCTACATTTAGTCACATTTTGCGACCCATAGGATACCTGGCTGTGGGAGGAAAAAAATGTATTGGTTGCATCGGCGCGGGCTGCATATTCATTCACTTCACTAAAAACATCCTATTTTTTAGGAGGCTAAAACCATGATTTGGTCAAACAGTAAAGTACATTATCCTCATGATTCCTGTAATGAAAGTGCCTGCCTGCCTGCCCCTGTACCTGTTTCACTGGGGCCTGCTGCTGTGTGGAGCTACCCACTCTCGCTCTCCTTTCAAATGCTCCCGGAGAAAGAAGTGTTCTGATTGTAGAACATTTTTAAATCCAATTGCTGGAAAAACACAGCTATCCTGTTGTCACAGATGGAGAGAGGATGTTCTCAGCTTTCTGTAGGTAATCACGCGAAATGCGCATTGGCCATTGCGAGTGCATAGGCCTCATTAGATGGTAGGCTACAACTGAAGAAAAAAATTAAGGAAATTAAATGTACTGTTAGATTAATACACGGCTACTATGAGTGGGTATTATCTTTAGAGTTAGTTATAGTTTTGAGTTCCCACTTACTCAGGTGGTGAATTAGCCCATGATATTAGGGCACATAAAGATGCAGGCAAATGTATCTCTATTAAAATAAAATACACAATATATAAAAAAGTATGTGGACACACCTTCAAATTAGTGGATTCGGCTATTTCAGCCACACCAGTGGCTGACAGTTGTATTACATTGAGCACACAGCCATGCAATCTCCATACACAAACATTGGCAGTAGAATGGCCTTACTGAAGAGCTCAGTGACTTTCAACGTCAGATTTCTGCCCTACTAAAGCTGCCCCAGTCAACTGTAAGTGCTGTTATTGTGAAGTGGAGACGTCTAGGAGCAACAACGGCTCAGCCGCGAAGTGGTAGGCCACACAAGCTCACAGAACGGGACCATCGAGTGCTGAAGCGCGTAGAGCGTAAAAATAGTCTGTCCTCGGTTGCAACACTCACTACCGAGTTCCAAACTGCCTCTGGAAGCAACGTCAGCACAATAACTGTTCGTCGGGAGCTTCATGAAATGGGTTTCCATGGCCGAGCAGCTGCACACAAGCCTAAGATCACCATGCACAATGCCAAGCGTCGGCTTGAGTGGTGTAAAGCTCGCTGCCATTGGACTCTAGAAAAGTGGAAACGCATTCTCTGAAGTGATGAATCACACTGGCAGTCCAACGGACAAATCTGGGTTTGGTGGATGCCAGGAGAATGCTACCTGCCCGAATGCATAGTGCCAACTGTAAAGTTCAGCTGGTAGAGCATGGCGCTTGTAACGCCAAGGTAGTGGGTTCGATCCCCGGGACCACCCATACACAAAAAAAAAATGTATGCACGCATGACTGTAAGTCGCTTTGGATAAAAGCGTCTGCTAAATGGCGTATTATTATTATTATTATAAAGTTTGGTGGAGGAGGAATAATGGTCTGGGGCTGTTTTTCATGGTTCGGGCTAGGCCCCATAGTTCCAGTGAAGGGAAATCTTAACGCTACAGCATACAATGACATTCTTAGTGATTCTGTGCTTCCCACTTTGTGGCAACAGTTTGGGGAACATCCTTTCCTGTTTCAGCAATGCCTGTGTACAATGCGAGGTCCATACAGAAATGGTTTGTCGAGATCGGTGTGGAAGAACATGACTGGCCTGCACAGAGCCCTGACCTCAACTCCATCGAACACTTTTGGGATGAATTGGAATGCCGACTGCGAGCCAGGCCTAATCGCCCAACATCAGTGCCCGACCTCACTAATGCTCTTGTGGCTGAATGGAAGCAAGTCCCCGCAGCAATGTTCCAACATCTAGTGGAAAGCCTTCCCAGAAGAGTGGAGGCTGTTATAGCAGCAAAGGGGGGACCAACTCCACATTAATGCCTGTGATTTTGGAATGAGATGTTCGATGAGCAGGTGTCCACATACTTTTGGTCATGTAGTGTATTTTAACAGTATAATATAACAATAGCATAATTGTCTACCCAAAATGCATGACAATCACTGGATTAGGTTGCACATCAAAATATTTTGAATCATATCACAAGATAATGAAATAACGTATTTCTTCAACACCATCTCAGTAGACTATTACACTTTTTAATAAAGCACTTTGAATTACTTCATAGGTTGATAGGCCTACTAATTTTTGCTATTGCACATATTTTGTTGTGTGCATCCAAATCATGGGCTGGTGCCACCAACTGAAAAACTTAGTGGCACTAGTGCAACCAGGGGAAAATGTTAGTCTGATGCCCGGCTACAAGGGGAATGTCTGTATGGAAAAGTTGTAATATTGTAGTGGACAAAGATGAGAAGAAAGTTGGCGCGGCCAAAGCAGGCTATTGTGCAACTAGCTATTCAGGTAAGATGCAATTTTGGAACTTAAATGTATTTATTTTTTCGTATTTATAAATCATTTGTTTTATTATTATTATTATTATTATTAAAATTGTATATCATTATTATTATTGTAGGCCTATTTATTAATCCAAAGCATTTCTTTAAATATGCAAAACGTGCTTTGATTAATTCTGTTGAGACATTTTCGTTAGCTAAATTAAGTTTGATCTGTCTTTTTAATAGTGTGCTCCGTATTTAATTTAAGATAGGTTATAAGTAGGCCTGTTGTAAAATAAATATCAGCAGCCTATTGATCTAATTTGTTGGGTATGGTAGGCACTGGCCTTTCTTGGTAATTGCTGCAATATAGCCTGTTCAAAACTTCTGTGAAGGTTTAAACCAGTTCACAAGTGTTCTTTCATTCTGTTGAGCCATTTTCTTTGGCCAAATATATATACACACATACATACATACATACATACATATACACACACACTTCCGTTCAAAAGTTTGGGGTCACTTAGAAATGTTCTTGTTTTCGAACGAAAAGCAATTTTTTGTCCATTAAAATAACATCAAATCGATCAGAAATACAGTGTAGACATTGTTAATGTTATAAATGGGTATTGTAGCTGGAAACTGCTGATTTTTTATGGAATATCTACATAGGCGTACAGAGGCCCATTATCAGCAACCATCAGTCCTGTGTACCAATGGCACGTTGTGTTTGCTAATCCAAGTTGATCATTTTAAAAGGCTAATTGATCATTAGAAAACCCTTTTGCAATTATGTTAGCACAGCTGAAAACTGTTGTGCTGATTAAATAAGCAATCAAACTGGCCTTCATGAGACTAGTTGAGTATCTGGAGCATCAGCAATTGTGGGTTCGATTACAGGCTCAAAATGGCCAGAAGCAAATAACTTTCTTCTGAAACTCGTCAGTCTATACTTGTTATGAGAAATGAAGGCTATTCCATGCGAGAAATTGCCAAGAAACTGAAGATCTCGTACAACGCTGTGTACTACTCCATTCACAGAACAGCGCAAACTGGCTCTAACCAGAATAGAAAGAGGAGTGGGAGGCCCCGGTGCATAATTGAGCAAGAAGACAAATACATTAGAGTGTCTAGTTTGAGAAACAGACGCCTCACAGGTCCTCAACTGGCAGCTTCATGAAATAGTACCCGCAAAACACCAGTCTCAACGTCAACAGTGAAGAGGCGACTCCGGGATGCTGACCTTCTAGGCAGAGTTGCAAAGAAAAAGTCCAGTGTTCTTTTGCCCATCTTAATATATTTTATTTTGTTACCTGTATAAAAGACACCTTTCCACACACTCAATCAAACTCCAACCTCTCCACAATGGCCAAGACCGGAGAGCTGTGTAAGGACATCAGGGATAAAATTGTAGACCTGCACAAGGCTGGGATGGGCTACAGGACAATAGGCAAGCAGCTTGGTGAGAAGGCAACAACTGTTGGCGCAATTATTAGAAAATGGAAGAAGTTCAAGATGACGATCAATCATCCTTGGTCTGGGGCTCCATGCAAGATCTCACCTCGTGGGGTATCAATGATCATGAGGAAGGTGAGGGATCAGCCCAGAACTACACGGCAGGACCTGGTCAATGACCTGAAGAGAGCTGGGACCACAGTCTCAAAGAAAACCATTAGTAACACACTACGCCGTCATGGA